GACGCGATTCGCCGCCAGGAAAAATACACCATCAGCAATAAGAGAGCAGATTACTGTAACAGCAGCATATGACACTATGTAGTTGAAAACTTAGGATCCATAAGGAATAAGACGTTAATGAACAAACTCACATGCAATAAAGAGTGAGATCGTGAATACGAAGGCAGTTGGTGGAAAGCATGGAGCACAAACTCCTGTACATATTGAAAGAAATGCAAGTATTTGTGAGGTGATGATGAAGAATAGAATCGCTTTATGCCAAGCTGAAACAAGAAAAATGACCTGAGATTTAATGATTTCTGTATTTTGATTTCCTTACCCCAAAACCGATGGTGTTCGCTTTCACCAGCAGCACCATCCTCGTCGATATTATTCAGCGTATTTTCAATAACCATCTCGGCTGAGTTATCAAACTGGAAAAAAAGCTCTTTTTATGCAAGATTGCAATGACTAAGAATTCTGAGGAAAGAACACAAAAAAGCTGGGAAAAAACAAACTTTGTACATGCAATGTAGAGGTGTTTCATCGTAAAAGTCGCCCACTGCAACGACATGCTTCTCGGCTCTGATGCAGTCCCACCATAAGCCGTGCTAAATTAAAGATAGTTGGATCTACATGAAAGAAAACTCGGAAATGAGAAAACTTTTGAACAGAAATTATCAATGAACCAATCTCAATCAGGTTTACCAAATAATTTAATTTCGTTTCCTTCCTCGATTAGGAAAATCTTACTTGACTATTGCTACCTATACTCATCCCCCTATTTTATTCAAATGCTTCAGTTATAGAAGTGATCAAACAAAATTTGTTGCCTTTTAGCGGAGAAACTGTAGGAATATATTAAAATTGATTCATGGATATGCAACTTCCTTTCGTCACCTTATATGCTAGTAAGGTTCTTTTTGAAAACGTAAAAAGTAACAGAATTTGGACATGAGATTACTTATGTTATTCATGCTTTTTCTTATTTTCAACTGCGAATTAGCTTCACAAAAAATTCCTTGATTAAAAGCTGAGGAGGACTCTACTATGACCTCATACAAAACCGT